GGGGTTCTTGGGGTTTTTTTGGGGTTTTTTGGGGTTCTTGGGGGTTTTTTGGGTTTTTTTGGGTTTTTTGGGTTTTTTGGGTTTTTTTGGGGTTTTTTGGGGTTTTTGGGGTTTTTTGGGGTTTTTTTGGTTTTTTGGAGTTTTTTTGGGGTTTTTTGGGTTTTTGGGGTTTTTTTTGGGTTTTTTTTTGTTTTTTGGGGTTGTTTTTTGGGGTTTTTTGGGGGTTTTTGGGGTTTTTTTGGGGTTTTTGGGGTTGCTCCTTGGGGTGCTGACCATGTCGATGACCATCTGGCGCAGGGATTTGGGGTTTTGGGGGGTTTTTTGGGTGGTTTTCGGTGGTTTTCGGGGATTTTTGGGTTTTTTGGGGTTGTTTTTTGGGTTTTTGGGGGGTTTTTGGGGTTTTTGGGGGTTTTTGGGGTTTTTGGGGGTTTTTGGGGTTTTTGGGGGTTTTTGGGGTTTTTGGGGGTTTTTGGGGTTTTTGGGGGTTTTTGGGGTTTTTGGGGGTTTTTGGGGTTTTTGGGGGTTTTTGGGGTTTTTGGGGGTTTTTGGGGTTTTTGGGGGTTTTTGGGGTTTTTGGGGGTTTTTGGGGTTTTTGGGGGTTTTTGGGGTTTTTGGGGGTTTTTGGGGTTTTTGGGGGTTTTTGGGGTTTTTGGGGGTTTTTGGGGTTTTTGGGGTTGCTCTTTGGGGTGCTGACCATGTCGATGACCATCTGGCGCAGGGATTTGGGGTTTTTTGGGTTTTTTGGAGTTCTTTTGTGTTTTTTGGGGTTGTTTTTTGGGTTTTTTGGGGTTTTTTGGGTTTTTTGGGGTTGTTTTTTGGGTTTTTGGGGGGTTTTTGGGTTTTTTGGGGTTGTTATTTGGGTTTTTTGGGGTTGTTATTTGGGTTTTTTGGGGTTGTTATTTGGGTTTTTTGGGGTTGTTATTTGGGTTTTTTGGGGTTGTTATTTGGGTTTTTTGGGGTTGTTATTTGGGTTTTTTGGGGTTGTTATTTGGGTTTTTTGGGGTTGTTATTTGGGTTTTTTGGGGTTGTTATTTGGGTTTTTTGGGGTTGTTATTTGGGTTTTTTGGGGTTGTTATTTGGGTTTTTTGGGGTTGTTATTTGGGTTTTTTGGGGTTGTTATTTGGGTTTTTTGGGGTTGTTATTTGGGTTTTTTGGGGTTGTTATTTGGGTTTTTTGGGGTTGTTGGGGGTGCTCTTTGGGGTGCTGACCATGTCGATGACCATCTGGCGCAGGGCCTGGCGCTGGCGCCGCGGAAGGTTCTGGAAGATGTCGCAGTCGCGCTCCTGGAGCAGTTTGAAGCCCACGGCCAGGTGATGATTCTCCAGCACCGACTCGTCGTTGTACAGCAGCGCCAGCTCCGAGTCTGGGGGACACCAGGAGGGACCCCCAAACATGGGGAGGGGGCTCTGGGACCCCCGGGCCAGGGGAGGGGGCTCTGGGACCCCCAAACATGGGGAGGGGGCTCTGGGACCCCCCAGGACACCGGCAGGGACCCCCAGGACCCCCCAAGACATGGGGAGGGGGCCGTGGGACCCCCAGAACATGGGGAGGGGGCTCTGGGACCCCCAGAACATGGGGAGGGGGCTCTGGGACCCCCAGAACATGGGGAGGGGGCTCTGGGCCCCCCAGGCCAGGGGAGGGGGCTCTGGGACCCCCAAAACATGGGGAGGGGGCTCTGGGACCCCCAGAACGCCAGGAGGGACCCCTGGGTTATGGGGGAGGGGGCTCTGGGACCCCTCAGGACATGGGGAGGGACCCCCAGGACCCCCCAGGACCCCCCCAGGACCCCCCCAGGACCCCCTCACG